AAAAAAAAAAAAAAAAGTCACACTTTTTAAGAGTAAAATTTTGAAATAAATTTCTCACAGCAGTAAAATACAGTGATGAATGTAGATAGAACAAAGGCAATTAAAACAAACTTATTCAAGTATTCTGGCATATTATTACAAAGATGCACAGGGAAAAATATATTAAGAATGGTAACTAAGAAAAGAAAGACAAGTCAGTCAATGGAACCAAATAAAAAGTTTGGAACCAGGCCCAAGGGTGAGTGAGGATGTGTATATAAAAATTAAGGCTATTGAGAAAGTGACATTGCAAATCAGTAGGGAAATAATCAAATTAACAAATCAATTAATTGGGACAGTAAGCTAACAATTTAAGTCACATCCCAATTTCAAGCCTTAAGCCAAATATTGTATTGAAAATGTAAAAGGGTGAAATCACAGAAATGAAAATAAAATCAGGTGGATAAGTATATAACCTTGGTGGAGGGGAGAAGGAGGGCTGTTCTAAACTTAATACCAAAGGCAGAAACAAATGATATGAAAAAACAAATGATATGACCATGTAGAATTTTAGCAATTCTGTAAGGACAGACATTATATAATAAAGTCAAGAACCAAAGCAAAATAGGGGAAAATATATTTGAAGAGTTATTATCCTTAATAAAGGAAAAGATGAGCACCCCATCAGAAAACTAGGCAAAGGATCTGGTATCGATGGAGAATTTATCAAAGAGAAAACACACATGACAATAACTTGACCCTCACTAACAATAAAAGCAAACAAAAACAATGCAATACTATTCTCTACTTATGGTGGGTGTCAGAGTGTGGGAGCTTAACTAACACATTTCTAGGGGTAATTTAGCAACATATAGCAACAGCTTGAAGAAAATAAGTCCACTTCTGGGAATTGATCCTAGGAAGATAACTGAACAAAGTGAATGGCTATCTTTAAAAGCTGTTCTTTAGAGCACTGTTTGCACTAGCAAGAAAACTATAAACCAGTCTAAAACTCAGTGGTAGGGGATCAAATTGCATGACCTATCCACAGATACACTATTCATATGAATATCATAAAACTATTAATAATGATGTAGCTCTATAATGTGGGCACTTGTTTTTGTAAAAATTATTTTCTACATATAAAAATATGCATGCCTAGGAAAAACTATGGATGGAAGGAAAATGTTAATAGAGGTTGTCCCCTGAGACACTAACTACGTGGTTAATGGCGGAAATTTGGGGTGACTTTTCTTTTTGCTTATATGAATAGTCTTATTTTTCTCAATATTGATGAAATATTTCTGTAACACATACATACAATGAACATAAAGATGAATAAATCGACTCTGAAATTAGGCCATAATTATTCACAAAAAAATTTATAATGGCCAATTGTCTTTTATATAATACTCTTTTCCAACACATTTATAAATTAAATATTACTAAAGTGAAGCAATTCAATATAGCAGAGAAGTGCTTCAACTTCTCTGAAGGGAGGAGACTTACCCCAATGTTTCAATTCTCAGAATTCTTCCCCTATTTTCCAGGTTCTTCTAAACTCTATCATAATGATCAACATGCTTATCCTCCGAGCTACTTTTGCTTTGCTAAAATGATTTCCCTGCTGCTGATCCTATATACCCTCTCGCTGAACAGAAAAGGCTGCTACCATCATACTCGCTCACTCTGCACTCCTTCCTCCATCAAGAACATCAGCCTTCTCAAATCCCAACTATCCTAACCAGTCATGTGAACCTGGGCAAGTTACTGAAACTCACTGAGTGAGAGTTCAGTTATTACCACGATGATCTGGCACACACTGGATTCAGTGCCGGCAGTTTACAAAGCAGGCTCATCTCCAGAAATCGCAACTGATAACCTGTTCCAGAAACTGAGACAGGACTCTGGGAAAACAGCAGAAATTTAATATCGTGTGCGGGCATCCCTTGGTATCTGCGGGGGATTGGTTCCAGGATCCTCTCATAGACACCAAAATCTGCAGATGCTCAAATATCTTATGTAAAATGGCATAGCATTTGCATATAACCTATGTACATCCTCCCATACACTTTAAATCAACTCTATCTATAAGATTACTTATAATACCTAATACAATGTACGTGCTATATAAGTAGTTATCATACTGTATTATTTTTTATTCGTATCATTTCTTATTGCTGTATTGTTATTTTTTTATTGTTTTTTTCCGGAATATATTTTCAACCCATGGTTAGTTGAATCCAAGGATGTGGAACCCATGGATATGAAGGGCTGATGGTACTTCCATAAATCTATGTCCTAAAATTTGAAGCTACAGAGGTCAGTCCTAATTTTTAGGATTTCAACCAAACTCTCACTAGCTAACGACTTTTGAGAAAACAAAGCTCTGGATTTAATTTAATATCGATATCTTAAATGACAGCAGTGGCTTATATCAAGGAAAACACTG